TTATCTATCGACTGCGAAGTCTTGCACGCGCTGGACAGAAGAACCGTTCAGTCGCACCGGCCCGCTGTCCCCTCCAGCTTGGAATATAACCGGTGACCGCCTCTGTCAACCGGTGGACACGTGACCGATCACGTGAGCCCAGCCGAGCGGGGGAGGGAAGCGAGGTGTGTATGAACGGGACGACTGGGGGGGGGGGGGGGTTCGTTCAGTTTCTCTGCGGGCAGCCCGTTTTTCTGGTCGGGTGTGGCGCCAGGGACGGGTTCGGCCGGACGCGGTCGGGTTTCGCCGCCGGGTCAACTCCGGCCCCGGCGGGTCACTCAGTTCAGCGTCAGAGGCGACGTCGGAGGGGTGCGACAGACGCCGGAGACGAGCCGCCCTCAGGATCATCACACGGCTCCGCTCCGGTGGATAGGTCCGCCCACGCCTCGAACCACGCCTCGAACTCAGCACTGTAGTGAGGTGTGACACTGCCACGTCAAGGTTCGGCCAGCCCAGGAGCGCCTTCACTTCCCTAGCCAGTCCGCTGAGGTCTCCCGGCTGCCGTAAGGCGGCAATCACAACTTTGTCCAGCCAGCAGCTGAGCTGTGCTCCTCAATCGACCGGACGCGGAAGGAAGTCCGGAGAGACCAGCCTGCGAAACGCGGTAGGTGCGCCGACAGCCGGCCGCAGTTGTGACGTAGCCTGGACAAGAGACGACTTACTAGCAAGCATTAAATTTTCATAAGGAATCTCATCTCATAGATGTCATCGTCAAAGATTAGCATATCAATTACCAACCTAAATGTTAATTGACGCAATGGCCAGCATGCACAACAGCAAAGATCATATTACTGTTGCTGAATATGCTCCCATTTGATTCGATGTGACAGCCGTTTGATGGATTGCCCGCTAGTCTGAGACTCGCTTATTTACGTTTTTGATAAAACGTATTGGACTATTATACCACGTAAAAGTTCAAACCTTTTATAGAAATAATCATAAGGACAAGGTCATGGACGGGGGGGGGGGACTTCCAGTTACAACGAATTCGTGGTTATCAAAACATACTATATAAGCACGTAACTACATACGTACTCGACACTCGTGCATGTCTTATGCAACGAACCCGTGTTGTGGAGTTTGGAGACTCCAGCTACGGGGTGAAAAGCGGAGATGATAGAAAATATGAAATGTGCACGTTTTGGGAATAGTTAGGAATTAGCGTTTCAGAAACGATCAACGGAAGCCCCATACTTATTAAAGCTATTTATTTATTATCATAATTAGTGCAAGGCAACGATAGCTCTGCATATTTTCTTGTCTGGTTTAGGTGAAAAGGAGTTCTAATAAGTTTAACTATAAATATAGGCATAGAAAACGGCATGTGATGACAAGAAAGCTATATCTTTACGAACATAATACTGACTCAGGGCTGGTAAAGTGTTATGTCCTATTGACGTCGTCGGGGACACAGTACCAGTAAAAGTTCAAGTACCCGGGGTCAAAATTACCACATTTAGTAAACTTTTACAGTAATAAATAACTTGAATATGTTTCAACGCTAACTTGAGAGACATTGTAACAAATAGTAAGAAAATTAACCTCACTCTCATTCTATCTAAAAGTAAATTCCGGATGGAGAGAGCTGGATGGAGAGCTGATGATGGCGCAATGCCGAAAGCTTCTCAAAAGTCAAAAAGTTTGTTTTATTTCGAATCCGGAATTTACTTTTAGATAGAATGAGAGTGAGGTTAATTTTCTTACTATTTGTAATAAATAACTTTCGAATAAAGCAGAAACTAAACGCAAGTAAAAGATATCATTGAATCCACAACGTATATCCCCTTTAACAAGGACATAAAAAGCCCCTATACCTAATACATACCTACAACATGGTTATGAACAATTAGTAGCCACAACTCACTTCCGTTAACAGCAAAACTACCGTCGACAGTTGCTAACGAAAACTAAATCAAACTAGATGATCAAACACATACTAACAGACGCTTAGACACCGACCCCGCTATCGGTTGTGCTATTTCAAGCGGGGTTGATTGACGACCAGTTGTAGCCAGCTATACGACTAGACAAACGACTAGATTCGGAACCGGGTTCATGGTAAATTCATGCGGGGTCGATAGTTTCTAGCCGTCGTCGTTGTGAGCTACCGATACAATAGCGACACCTATTGCATCTGTTCGACGATCGTAGCGCCCCCTACCCTTTCCGGGTTCTTCGTCTGTTACGCTACCCGCTGACCGAGTGATGCCGTGACATTTAATTAACAAACTGGAAATTTCGAAGCGCGAGTCTGATAAGCAATTTATAGTACATATGACTGCTCGTAAAAAAATAATATAGAAATGAAACCTAAGGAAACGCGCATCGTAGTTGCATGCAGCCTGCATACATGAATCGTAAAAAGGTCGGGGTCATTTTTCGCTCTCATTTTTTGGTCGGGGACGCAATTTGCTTTTTTACCAGCCTTAACATAAGACAAAAACTAAACTAACCTTCATATACGAGCACAACACTGAAAGGCAAATGATACGCAGAAAGAAAGAGCTGGCAGCCCTTGTCCGTTTTGACGTGCCTAACTACTCCTAGATATTAGGTTATCTCATGCGCGGTAAATACTATTTAGCGTTCTTTTACATGCTTCTCATAATCCTCCCGATTATATTCGATGGCTTTAAGCATGCATATTGGATGTAATTCATTACTCTCAAAGACAATCCAAAATTGGTGTATAGGAATTAGGATGTTCTTTAAGTTAGTTGGTTTGTAGGTAAACTTTGTCGGTATTTTACGTTTAAAATTTTTAACAGCTCCTTGCATTATTTCACACATCGAAAATGATAGCAAGATGCTACCTTTGGTGTTCGATAAATGGGAAATAATACTCATATATTGCGCAGAACACGAGCAGATCATGCATAAAACATTTCCATCATTTGCACCCACGTGACCTCGCCGTCTTCCGGAAACAGTGTTCCGCATTGCCTGCCTATAACATGTTGCGCAAAAGTGAAACCGCCTCAAACCTGTCTTCGTAAACCCGAATGGTGACATCATAGCTGCCACTGAGGTTACTGAACTCAATTTCATTTCAGCACGTTTACAAGGTGCGTTTATTGCAATGTCGGAGCCCAGCCATCTCAGAGTGCGACACTATTTGAATAATATAAAGTTGTGAGGTAAAAATCCTCCGATAGCTCATATGGGCCCCGGACAAATGTTACCTTATTCAATGTCCCGGTAGTTAATAGGGCGTCGGTCAAATGTTGCCATATGCATCTGAAAATCATGCAGAGTCATTAAATGCTACTTTTTAATGGCCTTCTTCATGCTTACACATGCCAGCGCAATATGTCCTAGCCCAACATCATATATAGGTAAGGCTGTAGAGTCTGTGTGTGCCAAAAAGAGCTTAAATGTAAAACTTTTGATAAAAGGAAATAACATTGGATGAGCTTAAATGAATTAGCTTTAAAATTCAGCGGAAAGTTGGAATAATTTGTAAACGTCAAAATCCCTTTCATAGAATTGGTATAATTTTTTTCTCAATAAAATCTAAATAACGAAAAAGCTTATAAAAGTTAAGCAAATGTTATCCTGCTCGTAAACAGTGTTTACACTGGCTTCACGTGCAAAGATAGAAAATTATCAGATGTCGTTTAAATGATTTGTTAAACGTCTAGACGATTAACAAACTGTTAAACATCTAGTAGACATTTTGTCTAGTCTGAAATATGTCGTATTTTTTATGTTAAATGTATTTTTACCTTTAAGCGCCCGAAACGTATCGGCGGTACGGGATAAATTATTAAACCGCTTGTAGGTAGAAAAATCTTTTAAACGTCTCGCCTATCGACTCGACGTTTAAAAGATTTGTTCTGCCTACTCGCGGTTTAACATATATTATCCCGCACCGCAGACAGTGTTTACAATTGCTTCACGTGCAAAGATAGAAAATTAGCAGATGTCGTTTAAATGATTTGTTAAACGTCGTGACGATTAACAATCTGTGTCTGCTTCTCTTTGTCTCTGGCTCTGCTGAAATATTCAGTATTTTTATATATGATGTATTTTTTTTTATTACTTTTAAGCGCATTAAAGATATCAGTGGTACGGGATAAAATTATTAAACCGTGAGTAGGTGGAACAAATCTTTTAAACGGCGAGCCGATAGGCGAGACGCTAGGGATGTTTAATGATTTTATCCCGTACCGCTGATATCTTTCGGGCGCTTATAGGTAAATAATACATTTTATATGAAAATACAACATATTTTGTCAGATCCAGAGACAAAGAGACAGTTTGTTAAACGTCTTACAAGACATCTGATAATTTTCTCTCTTTGTGCGTGAGGCAATTGTTAACACTGTCTTCGGTGCGGGATAAACAACGTTAGATGTAAAGACCTCGGTTTTAAATTTAGATATACGAAACAACTACTATGCTTCTAACAAAATATTATCGCCTTTTAAACGTTTAAAACTGTTAAAAACCAATAGAAGTTAACCATATCTGATATCAACACATAACCGTCTTGCATATTGATAGAGGCAAGTAGAAAAACACGGAGCAAATAGTGCATGGACGCGTCTCGATTATAAGCTTTTGATAATCGAAACATGTCTATGCACTATTCGTCATCCGTGTTTTTCTACATAACCGTCTCTTTATAGGTACACAATTCACGCCTATCCATGCATGCGGGTCTTCCCTCTGAGTTTGTTTGAAATAATCCCACACTGAAAGCTTTGTGTCTATTTGTGTTTTTGACCTAACTAAATGCGTTCAATGACAGAAAAATATCAAATAACGAATAATCTAATGTAAAACGGACACCGTAAGAAGACCGGTTACTAGCGCTTGTATAAGGCGCTTAACAAATTGGCTTAAACTATTATTAGTCGTTGAAAATTTGTTAAACGTATAACTAGAAGTCGTTAAAAATTAAAATACATGCCTAGACCTAATTCATTACGCATAGCGTATCACACCTTAGTAGACGTTGAACAATTTATTAAACGTTTAGTTGATGTCTTGCTAACGTTTCGTTGACATTATTCCGCACCGTAGACAGTGTTTATAATCGCTTCACGTGCAAAGAGAGAAAATTCTCAGATATCGTGTAACTGATTTGTTAAACGTCTAGTGACGATTAACAAATTGTTAAATGTCTATAAGACATCTCTGCCATTTGACCGTCTTAAGTTATTTTCACCAGTATGCGCAGTGAAATGCAATGAAACATCACTTTCCGTTTCTGTTTAATTGTTTTTGGCACTTGATCTTTAATGAACCTGTCAATTTCAGATCTTAAAGTGTCTGAGACTCAAAGCTTTAGCTGTCTCTGCTTCTCTTTGTCTCTGGCTCTGCTGAAAGATGTCGTATTTTTTATATAAGATGCATTTTTTACCTTAAAGCATCCGAAAGATATCCGCGGTACGAGATAAAGTTATTAAACCGCTCGTAGGAAGAAAATATTTTTAAACGTCTCGCCTATCGGCTCGCCGTGCAGATTTGCTCTACCTACTCGCGGTTATAATAATATGCGACGGAGAAATACTTCCAGCCGGTAATCAACGTCGCCGTCATTGGCGATGTATGATGCCAACTTGTATAGGTGCGTACATACTAGTGTCGCAATAGGTGAGAGCGATCTCAGTTGTCATGTTTACACGTATCTTTTAAACGTCTCAACTCGCAGCTCTACGTTTCAATTTCTTCTTCTAGTATCTACTTGAAATTTATTATGTGTTGTACCTATCCTGAGCACAAAATGACCGAAAAATGACTATAGATTGTGCATACCTAAGTGTTAGGTATGTTAAATTACGCTTACACTCTGCCCGGATACACACCTACCCCGTTTATATAATTCGTCTCGAGATGACGTGGCCTAAAACGTGTTACTGGGGCTGACCTGAAGTTGAATCTGCTGTTAAAAAAAATCCGGCAAATTTCCGAAGTAAATCGTCTTGCCAACGGCTATTCTAAAAAAACTACGGCCTAGACAACAGACGTCAGACACCTCATAGCGGTGCAGAACGCATTCCGCTGTATCACATAATGCTTTTAGAATCATCACCTTGACACCTTCGCGTTGCTTTCGTTTGCAAAGCTGAGCCTCACGCTTCTCTGTCTGTGTACTTACATGTCATTCTTTACCACTTTTATCGTGCCGCCTTGCTCGAGCTACGCTAATGCTTCCCGTTTCCCGTTTGTAATTCAAATACACTCGTTTGGCCGCCAATATTCCCAGGCCTGTCCGGTGCTCGCAGGGGAGCGTCCGTCCAATTCCCCGACTCATCCCGTGTCCTGTCCGTGATCTCATCCCACCGTTCCACGGGGAGCGCGCGCCTCGGACACGGTATTTCCAGGTCCGGTTGACGGCGACGGCTCGAGGCGGGAACACGGTGACAGACACGCAGGTGACCTGTGTTTCAGGACGGCGGCGACGGTCAGTTCCTCTCCGACGAGCGCCGGCGGCGGCTGCGACACCTCCCTAGTCACCATGATGGAGACGCTGTCGGACTACTACACTGCCTTCATGTGGCGGAGAGGTGAGTGCGCGCGGCGGCTGGGAGCAGGAGATGACAAGGGAGAAGGGAGCTGGCGACCGCGAATACAAGTGATGACAATTGTCCGAGGATCTCGACTTGACGAACGGCATTGCCAAAATCACTTGCCATCTTCTCCTCAAAATATAAACATGGAAACACTGGTCATCCATTCCATCGCAGGCGTTTAGGGTACTGCAACTACCTGCGCCAAAACTTCCAACGTCGTCTTTTTGCCCTCCATGTCCCGTCACTCGCTGGCCTGACCTGACCTGACGTGGCCGGCAGATCCTCGCGTGCGCTCGTGGCCACTGATGGGGCCGTGGGGCGGCGCGCAGACTGCCGCCATCCTCACCGTGTACTCGCTGATGGTGATGTTCGGTCAGCGCCTGCTCAAGAACCGCACCCCGGTCAACGTGCTGTACCCCATGGTGGTGTACAACGTCACCCAGGTGCTGCTTTGCGCCTACATGACCTATGAGGTAAGACAACCTTTTGCGCGATACACATACGACAGCTCGATTAGATTTGTCATCAGAGAACGTACTCGGACATATTGTTACGAGTATACTCGTATGCGATGCATATTTACCTAAGATCTTCTTTGCTGTGCCAAAATAATGATAGGTTCGAAAGCCGACACCGAGAATGCTGCCGTATCTGTTCGATAGCTTAGTTTATTTAATTACCATCCGGTGTTTCCGGCTGACCCTGATGCGTTTCGTTTTCAGTTTGTGGTCGCAGCCACCGGTCTGCAAGTGAGCCCCGTGTGCGCTCGGGTGGACGTATCCGATAACCCGTACTCACTGCGGGTAAGTAAACGGTCCAATAATTGCTGAACGCCCACAATCCCGGGTCTTCTCAAAGAGATAATAGTTGTGGCGTTGCTACTCTAGTGGGATACTATATCATATGCCGTGTCTTTCGTGTCACTAAGACTAAGCCCTGTAACATTGTTGTTATTCTTGTCATGCTAAATTATCTGTTGTATCGTGCAATTCTCTATGGCCAAGTCTGTTTGTAAATATCATACCCTTAGCTGCTTAGCATCGTCCCGTTACATGCTGAATACGGAATAGCTAACACAATGTCCTCTACTTCTCGGTAAGGCCTGCGCCCCATTCGTCCTCCATCTGACCTCTGTGACCCGTCTGTGCAGCTGACCAAGGTCTCGTGGCTGTTCATGGCGTCCAAGATAGTGGATATGTGCGACACGGCCTTCATGCTGCTGAAGGGCGACAAACGGCGAGTGTCCTTCCTTCACGTGTTCCACCACGGCTCCATCTTCTACAGCTGGTGGCTCTGCGTCATGTTCGCCCCCGGCGGCGTCGGTCAGTGGACGGGGTCAGGGGTCGATAAATAAGGTTAGGGCAGGTAGGGTCAGGGTCGATGGGTGAGGTCAGTGGGCGGAGCGATGATGAAATGGCGCGTAAGTGCTGAGAATATACCAGTGCGAAGCTGATAATCAATTCTACTATATGTACACAGTTCACTAGCTTGACATGCTTTCTTTGCCTTTCTTCGTTCTGCTCTAAATTTCTCCTAACTGCCCGCCACCGTCCATCACTCATAACCCCAGGCTACACCGGCGGCGTCATCAACTCGCTGGTCCACACGCTGATGTACGCCTACTACCAGCTCTCCACGATGGGACCCGAGGTCCGCAAGCACCTCTGGTGGAAGCGCTACCTCACCATCCTCCAAATGGTGAGATATACCTACGGTGTGGGACCGGAACCACTTTCCGCGAAACGACGCTTGTAAATTAATGTATTATTTTAGTCACATGATCAATGACCAAGTGTGGGTGACATGACAGTTGACACGGAAGTAAACCAAAAATAACTTCATCCAACGAGCTATATTTACCTACCCATATAAGCTCCCAGCTGTTTAGGCCTCCCGGAGCATTGGAACGTTACATCGCGAAGAAACGTTCATACCGATTTCGAATAACTAAACTTGTCGACCAGCCATGTGGGCAAATTTGCTTCGCCTCACCTTTAGAATGATAAAGGAGCAATTAACTGGGTTAAAGCTTCATTATTTTATTTTTCTAATATCCTTTATACCTATGAAGTATGAGGTAACACATTTTTTATTGCACTGCGGGAAGGATTGCCACTCCACAATTAGGAATTTTAGTCATGTTCATGGGCTTGTCGCTCGCCGTTCATGCAATTCCTCAATAGTCTTAGAATCGAAAATAAAAAGCAGAAAAGGTCGAAAAGGATCATAAAGACCTCATCTTTTTATCAATTGGAAGTAAAATCTCTATTATGCAAAAGACACGAAACGCCCATTTCCACAGACTACCGTGGCAGACTTTAAACGTTTAAACGTTAAAACGTTTCAAGCCAGCGGCGTATTTAGAAAATCGCGAAGGGGGGGGCCAAGGGTTTGGAGGGCGCCACCTCACCCAAGGAGGGCGCCATACGGTCGCGAGATAAAAAATCGCTCAGCGGGGTGGGGGGGGGGGGGGGTTGGGAGGCGTTTTTTACCATGCCACCAGTTTTTTTTTTGCGTAACCTCGTATAGGTCGTGCTGCATTGATTTTGCATCGTGTGTATTCTTTATACTCCAGGTCACAAAAGGTCAAGTGTTCTTGAAATGCTGCGCCGAAGGCGCGCGAAATTTTTGAAAACAACCTTTTCCTCCGCTTTTTAGGCACGCCTTTTATACGATCACCGTTCAAAGCTCCTCTCGCTCTTTTACCAAATTTGAAGGTGTAAAAAATACCTAAGGTTTGGTCGGGCCGCTGCCACACAAACTGTATAGAAAGCTTGGCTCATGGGTGTCGATGTATAAAAGTTTATTGGCGGTGGCATATCTACGCACCAGATCACCGTATCGGATTGATACCGGAGCGCGAGATGCGTAAACATCATCCAAATTACCTCAGACCAGCCTTCATAGCCTTCTCACAGATGCATACAGTGTACCCACATAACCAGTTTCAATCACCGAAACTTCAGATGCCTGCTGTTGCGGCCGAACCTATTGACAATACTTAATCGTAATCCATATACATAGATGCCATGATGCACGTAAAGTAGGATCAATCCGTTAAGACCAAAGACGTGTCTTATGCATCGTAGAGCGTAGATAGTTTTGGTAGGTATAGGTACTTCATTCATTGTGCTGAATGCACGTTCATTTGTGGCAGTTTTCACAGGCAAGACATCAACTATGTGCAATAGAACGACTAAGTTGAAAAACATGCCAAAGGAGTAAATAAATGATAAGAGGGCAGCGATCAACGGATGTTGCCAATAGGTAGAAGGGCTGCGATCCACAGGAGGGCGCTAATAGGTAGGAGAGCCCCGATCAACATCCCGAGTTTCGATAGTAGGGCACCGATAGGTAGGAAGTTGGCGAGCAGCAGGAGGGCGCCAACGGATAGAAGGGCAGCGATCAACAGGAGGGCACCAATAGGTAGGAGGGCCCCGATCAACAATCAACAGGAGGGCGCCACCAGGTAAGAGGGTGGCGAGGAACAGGAGAGCACCAATAGGAGGGTGGCGATCAACAAGAGGTCGCCAATAGGTGGGAGGGCGGTCATCAACTGGAAGTCGTTAATGAGCGGAAGGGTGACGATTAAAATGGGGGTGGCAATGGTGAGGAGGGCGCCTTTGCTCAAGAGGATGACACGAACAGGAGGGCGTCTGTGCGGAGGGCGCTGGTCAACAGGCAGGTACCAGTGGATAGGAGGGCGGTGATCAACAGGAGGGTGCCAACTGCCAGTGGTTAGGAGGGCGGCGATCAACACGAGGGCGCCAATAAGAGAAGGGCCCCGATTAACATTCAACAGGAAGGACTAGGGAACCAATAGGTAGGAGGGCGGCACTGAACAATAGGGTGCCAAAAAGGAGAAAGGCGGCCTTGAAAATTTCACATGAGGGGGCAATAGGTAGGAGAGCGCCAATAATTATGAGGACGCCGATCAGCAGAAGGGCGGCAATATGTAGCAGGGTGGCGACCTACAGGAGGGCGCCTTCGGGTGAGAGGGCGCTTATTTACGGGACAGCGGCTTACATAGGCGACCACCGTTACGCTTAGAGAGCTACAGCCTACAAATGTGGTTGGAGGGCGCCCGAGGGAGCCCTCCAACCGTATTTGGAGGGCGTATTTGGAATGGGCGTCCTCCGAGGGCGCCCTCCATCCGTATTTTCCCTGTAAACACATTCGCGATTGGAGGGCGCCCTCCAGTCGCGATTGTTTTTCGATTCGATTATATCACAATTGCATTTGCGATTGGAGGGCGCCTTCGGCGCCCTCCAATCGCAAAGGGCGCCTTCGGCGCCCAAGGGGGGGGGCCATGGCCCAGTGGCCCCCCCCTGCCTACGCCCCTGTTTCAAGCTTGCCGTTTCGTTTCGCCGTTTCGCCGTTTACACGAATAACATCCCAAAAATGACTGTGCCCTTCCCAAACACCACACGCAACATCTTTCTTTACCTCGGCTTAGCACACCTCATCCCCAACCGCTGACTAACTTGCACACTGTGGCTGTGTCCGATCCGCAGGTCCAGTTCTGTTGCCTGATCGGCATCGCCGTGCTCACCCGCCTGCCAGGCCTGCGCTGCGGCTACCCCGAGTGGATCTCCGTCGTCACCTTCTTCTACATCTTCGTGCTGCTGGGACTCTTCGCCAACTTCTACGTGAAGGTGAATGATCGCTGCCATGTCTGTGCTGGGTCATGCTGTTCCGATAGTTCTCGACAGCATATAGTGCAACTCTTTATTCTTTATAATCGCCGATCTATGTATTATGTAATAACTTTAAGTGTCCCGAATACTGATTTTGAAAGTATAATGCTTCGACAAAAGCCATATAAACAAATGTGTCTAATTTATAGCAACCACATAGTCCTTCAATTCCCGCCCCCGGGCTTCATTGACGCTTGTCGCTCTCTGATGCTCCGCTTCTCCCTAACTGAACCGTTCCACCCGCGCTTTCACAGACGTATGTGAAGGTCCAGGCGGCGAAGGCTGCTGCGGCGGCGGCGGCCGCTGCTGCTGCCTCCCGCGAGGAGCCGGCGCCGGTTCAGAAGCTGCGCGAGCTCAACTCGAGCGTCACGCAGTTGGTGGGTCGCGCCCGCTTCGCCTGCCTGCACGGCGACCAGGCCCACGGCCGGTGAGCCGTCCGAGTCGAACGGGGCAGGGTCACCGGGCGAAGCAGCGGACCTGGGGAGACCGCAGTGACGGCGAGACGGCGATGGTAGACACTAGCCAGGGTAGAAAGATGGGGATATGACGCATGTCTTCCAGCCGCGCAGCGTCCGTCTTCGGCCAGACGGAACGGAGAGTGACATGGTGCCGGCGCCTGATTCGCTATGTGTTCTCTGCTCGACTTGAAGTGCTAAGTAGGTATCGAACTGTCTTACAGACTGTAGATAGATACATGGTGTGATGTAGTCTGTACTGTTGGGCGTTGTGCCCTATGCTGTTGTGTTTCTGGCTGTTGCGCGTCATGCTTTGTTGCGATGAGCAAATTGGGAGGTGGTGGCGACTGGCGACGAATTCAAATTCTAAACGTTCAGGCGTGCCGCGGATAAATGGAGAAGCCGAACGAGATTGCCGGCCTAAAATGCACGGACGGGTTATGCTCGCGAATCTTTGCGCTGTACAAACGTCTGAAAAGCCGATTACAAATCAATCACGGTCCACGCACCACCGGGGTGTGCGGTAGTGAATGAACTGTGCTTGCTGTGATGAATGTCGTTAAGTGCCTTATAGTTTAGGTCTAGCGTAATAGTAAGTTATGTTGTGGAATATATGTATTTAAATACAACACAAACGCATAGCAGAGTTTCATGGGTCTGTGGTTCGAATCTCGGCAAGTTCATTGCAATTTGCAACGACCATTGAGCAATCTTCGCCATGGCATGTGATAAAAGTTACCTAACTAGATATTCCATAGGCCTTTTAATTAAAGTGACGTGTGAGCCGAGTCCGTTCGTAGCTAGGGCCTTGTTTGCACCGTTCGAACAGCTTACCAGCCATGAGCCAGCCCATATCGGTGCCACTCGTCCGTCTTGTTCGGCCCTGAGGTAAACACCACTCACCTACCGCATTTCACTACCTACGTATCGTATCGCAGGAGCCGATTGGGTGAAATGAATGCCGCGGGGAGGCGGAAGCCTATACAGAGCTAACATGGCCTATTTACCTATTTTCTTAGGGCCCCAACGCCCTACACTGACGTCTGACATCAACATAGGGCAGGGCATATTTTAAGGCACTAGCCCCCTCGCCTTGCGATGTAGCCCCTGCTGATTTGACCCACTGCGTCCCTGCCCTGTGCCCTGTCCGGTTCCCTGACCTGTGCCCTGCTGTGTGCCGTGTCCGGTTCCCTGACCTGTGCCCTGCTGTGTGCCCTGACCAGTACCTACCCTTCCCTCTAAATTAAAATGTCCTGTGCCACATAGGCGTAGGAATAGGGGGGGGGGGGCAGGTGGGCAAGTGCCCACCCACTTTTCGAGGTGGGGGGGCCAACCATGTGTTTTGGCCCACCCACTTTTTGCTCGAGGCCCCTCGTCTCGATTTGAGAAGACGTCGTCACCTTCCAGAATAAACAAAATCGGTAAAAATAAGTTCCACGAATCCCCACGCACGGACTCCAAGGGGCCGTGATGGATCCAAGGAGGCCCTCTGTTCATACTTATCAGTCGAAGCCCCTGAGACTGATGGCCTGAGAGGCCCTAGTGGATCTGAGGAGGCCCCAATATCCACACTGGTCTGGGAGGCCCCTCCATCCACACTAGTCAGAATAGGCCCCTGACACTGGCGGTCTAGCCGAGGCCCCCTACCCTCACTAGTCAGAGGAGGCCCCTCTATCCTCAATAGTCGGAAGAGGCCCCTGAGACTGATGGTCTGGGAGGCCTATCCATCTACACTGTAGTCAGAGGAGGCCCCTGAGACTGATGACCTGAGAGGCCCTTATAATCACACCAGGCAGAAGAGGCCCATGATACTGATGGACTGAGAGGCCCTTCTATTCATACTGGCCACAGGAGACCCCCAAAACTTTCGGTCTGGGAGGTCCCTCAATCCGGCACCAGTCAGAAGAGTCCCCTGAGACTGATGGCCTGGGAAGCCCTTATATTCACACTAGGCAGAGGAGGCCCCTGAGACTGATGGTATGAGAGGCCCTCATATTTACACCAGTCAGAAGAGGCCCCCGAGGCTGATGGCTGTGAGGCCCTTCTGTTCATATAACTGGCCACTGGAGGCCCCTGAAACCGGTGGTCTGGGAGGGCCCTCTATCCACACTAGTCAGAAGAGGCCCCTGAGACCGATGGTCTGAGAGGCTCTTATATGCATACTGGCCACAAGAAGCCCCTGAGACTGATAGTCAGAGAGGTCCACTCGTAATGAATCTAAGGGGGCCCTCTATCCACATTTACACTTTTCTAGGGAGGCCCCCGGGACTGATGGTCTGAGAGGCCCTTTTATTTATACTGTCCACAGGGGCCCCCTGAGATTAATGGTCTGAGAGGCTCTTCTATTTATACTAACCAGAAGAGGCCCCTAGGATTGATGGTCTAACAGGCCCTTCTATTTATACTAGCCAGAGGAGGCCCATGAGACTTATGGTCTGAGAGGCCCTTCTATTCAAACTAGGCAGATGAGGCCCCTGAGAATGATAGTCTGAAGAGCCATGCGGCGGCAACTGGCCGTGGCCATATTTCGGCTAGGTAGGGCCCCACAGAGCTCATGAGAGCACCTCAAGGGCTTTTAAGTAGACACGCTTATCCCCATAAGGGTGCCGCCACGCCGGCTTCTGAAGGCTCCTTGTAGGCATCTAAGGGCCCTTTCCGGCCTCTAACGGCTCCACCCGCCTGTGATGGCTCCACACCAGTGTTTATGAGCGCCACACAGCGGCGCCTTTGAGGGTCATACTAGTGTCTCTTAGGGCCCTATATCGGTGGCTCTGGGGGCCCCACACCGGCGCCTCTGTGGGCCACCACACCTGTGCATCTCAAGGCTCTATATGTACATCTGAAGGACCCACACCGACACCTCTGAGGGCCCCACACCAGTATCTCGGTGCTCTGAAGGCCCCACACCGGTGACTCTGAGGACTCACCGGCTCCTGAGAGCACCATGTTGATGTCTAACGGCTCCACAAGGCCACTGAAGGCACCACACAAACTCTCACTGGGCTCTAATGTCCATGTACCGGCCTCTGAGGGATTTAAGCCAGCGCATTCGCAGCTCCACACCAGCAATTGTAAGGGCTTCACACTGAAGTATCTGAGGGTTCCACACCGGTGTCTCTAAGGGCCACATACCGGCATCTCTGAGGGCCCCATACCGGCGTCTCCGAGGGTCCACATCTGGCGGGCACCCATCAGCGACTGAAGGTCCCACACTGTCGACTCCGAGAGTCCCATCTGCGTCTGGGAGCACCATGCCGTCTCTAAGAACCACAGCGGCTCCTCCGTACGAAAGATGGGCGTCCGCATGCCAAAGGGGAGCGGTTCTGAGACAGTAGGGCACCTACGTGCAATAGAGGGGCGCCTATGAAGCCCATAGGGGCGCCTCAATGCGAAAGAGGGGCGCCTCTGAGGCCTACATATATAGGCGTCCACATGCAATAGAGGTCTGCAAATTGCAATTGATTAATGCCATGGGGGTGCATTCATAAGAAACAGGGGCGCCGGCATGGCAAAGAGAGGCGCCTTCAAGTGTCCATAAAAGAGAGACGCCTATGATAAGCGCACATTGTACAGGGTGACACAAAAAAGCGGTCATCACCAAAATTCGAATAACTTCGGAAGTTTTATTCAGATCATCACCAAACTTCGGCCACTTTAGGTCACACCTATGTAGCAGACATCCACCAAGTTTCAAGTCTTCACTACGAATACTTTTAGTACAGTGTGTGTTTTACGGACGCTCCACAATGTGCTCCAGGTGAGCGCCCCGGCGCTGCAGGGCGTAAGCACACCTGCATCCGGCGGGCAAAGTTGCCGATAACCCGATAAGAATAACGTTTCAGGGGTAGCACACACCCTGAGCACTGTCTCCAGAGTCCAGAGGCCATTGCACTCTGTAAAGTGCACAGCCATCGGGTTATTGACAACTTTGCCCGCCGGATGCAAGTGTGCCTACGCCCTGCAGCGCCGTGGCTCTCACCTGGAGCACATTGTGGAGCGTCAGTAAAACACACACTGTACTAAAAGTATTCGTAGTGAAGACTTGAAACTTGGTAGATGTATGCTACATAGGTGTGACCTTAAGTGGCCGAAGTTTGGTGATGATCTGAATAAGACTTCCGAAGTTATTCGAAATTTGGTGATGACCGTTTTTTTTTTGTATCACCCTGTATGCGACAACGGGGCGACTGTGGGACATATAGGGATGTCTCTGATGACTATAGGCACATAGGGCGCTTATATGCCAAAGAGGGCGCCTATGAAGCTAATGGGGGCACCTGGGAAACGAGGAAGACATTTGTGTAAGGGTTTTCAGGGGTCATGCGCCGTTCGCGGCAAAAAGATTCTAAAAAAAATCGGAGGGGAAGAAGTTTTAAAAATGGTGCGGACTTTCCGCACTGTTCGCTTTAGCGGTTACGCCCCTGGGTACATGTGCCTGATCTCAGAAGCTAGATTTAAAGGTCATACTTGAAAGCAGCCAGCAGGATGAGGCAAAAGTGGAGGCCCCTGAAAATAGGAGGCCCCCTGGAAAAGGAGGCCCCTTGACAGGGTGGCCCACCCACTTTTCATGACGTTCCTACGCCCGTGCTGTGCCATGCCCTGTAACCTGCCGTGCCCTACTTTCTGCCCTCCTCAGTGCCCTACTCTGTTCCTTGCCCTGTGCCCTTAGTCGCAGTACGTGCCCTCTGCTCAACTTTGGGACGCAGTAAAAATGTGTTAAAATATGCCCTGACATAGGGCAGATGCCACCCAGTCATAGCAATTTGGAAAATATTTCTCATATAGGAAGATTTTGGTAGAGGGGCGCATATTTACGTCTGGACAACGAGTTGCGTTGGAGAGGCCGGAAATAGTGGCGATTTCAGGACCGCAAGAATGGACCGTCATTGGAATGATTCTTTTTCAAACCGTGCACTGTTTTCGGTCGCAATTTAATAGTTACTACAAAATATTTTTCAATTACGTTTTCACCAAGAATGAATGCCATCAAGGCTAAATTTTTACTACTTTTGCATTTTGTCAAGAAGCATATAGTGCTGTTATATTGCAGTTTTTGCGCGTTTGTTACAAAATATGAAGCGAATAAGCGTCAGTGTAATGGGAGAGCACAGAGCAAAGCTTTCAATAATGGCCACCAGGTGGCAGCAAGGGCGTTACTGCCGATCCATTTGCTGTCACGGGCCGGGGCCGGGTATCACAGAGCGCTGCCAACGCTGTTGGCGCTTTTGGTTTCATACTTGTTGCACACTACCATAGTGTTGGAGATATAGGGGTAGTGTATGACAAGTATGAAATCAAAGCAGCGCTCCGTGGAACACGGCCCGGGCTGCGTCCGCCCGGGTCGCCCGCGGTCACCCAAGTCCCATCAATTATCGCGCCTCAGGCTGATATGCAACTGGCTGCTGCTGATGTCCAGCTGCTGGCAGACCAGCTTCAGGCTCATGCCGCCATGCCATCAAATGAACCCAAAGCTTTCAATCATTTGATAGAAAACTACCAAATGAACCCTTCCGTAACTCGACTCTTACTGAGAGCAAGAGTCACATCGCAAGGTCAGGTCACTGCCGAGGCGAGAGCCGTAACCAGAGGCACGCATTCATCCTATATTCTCGCTTCTAACGTCAGAAAAGAAACTATGCGAACAGATATGGCGAAAAATAGATGTGCGGATAATTTCGTTACACCCTGTAGGAGTTCCTTTAAACCATGCCCGTATCCTGTAACCAGCTGCAGACAGTACTCGTTCGTTTCTATTCATGCCAATGAACTCATGACTTATGAGCGTCACTGCGCGATGGCGAAAACAACACATAGCTTTTGAAGCAGTGTATGATAGTCAACAGCGGTGTATTGAACTGACATCGAAACATAGCAGAGTATACTAGCTAAACCACTTCGACAAGGCAAGCTCCAAAACTTAAAAGCATTCAATATCACCGATTACCAAATAACATACAGCTTTCAAGCAATGCACTGTGCACCAGCATACACATGCAGCCCTCCAATGCACCATTCACAAATGTAGGCATGTACAATAAACATGAGACGGTGAAGCTCAGTCTGCTAATGCTAACGTCCCAGAGCGCGCACATCCCCGCCACCTGCATGAGCGATTTCTGCAGGCTACAGACGAGACACACAGAACGGAATATGTCTGAAAGAACAGATACGTAACCGGCATCGATTTGCCCCCTAAGAAACGAGTAAGTCTTGATCAGACCAGTCATACGCCCGACATGGATATGATCCCTCGTGATAGCGAGCGACTGAGTGCGTTCGGCGGGAGAGAGCTGGGACTTCACTTCTTTAAAGGGACCCTCCCACCTTAACATTAGATTTGAGTTGAGATAACCAAAATGGGGTCCCTGGCTCACAATTACCGGTTTCGGCACTCACAACATCGAGAAATGCCTTAAATCGGAAATATTGAATTTCAAAATTGCAGCATTTTGATTCAGAGGGGCTAATGCTTAGGAATACCCCTCTGAATGTGTGACGTCAGCGCAAATATCTAACGATTTTTAAATGTTTGACTAAAACGTTTTGTAGCACGCGGTGGTATATGCTATTTGCGCGCAACATCTGCCGCAAACGCCGCACTTCTAAAATAAAGTCGCTAGAAACAGCGGAGATCCCAAAAAAGTAAACAAAAGTAAAAGTCTAATATCTTGAAAACCGGTGAATATTTTTCAGTGAAATTTGTTAGATATTCGTTTTCGCTCTTTCTGAACCGAGCGACATCACTTTCATGCCAATTCATAAACTTTTTTGAAGGTGGGAGGGTCCCTTTAAGGAACGCTGGTGTTATGACACGTACATCACGACAGGCTAACAGATCTTGGACATTGAACCCTGCCTGGTGCTGATATTGACAGCACCATCAGATAGCCCCGCAGTGGTGCAGCACACCCCCTTCAGTGTCACACTCCTCATAAGCAGCAACCTCAGGTGGAGGTGGAGCACTCTTCTCCATTTCCTCTGCCTGTTGAGCCCATTCTTGTACCTGTGAAAACAATAAAATTTGTATTAACTGCCTCATACATACTGAATACAGCCTGACAAGGCATGAGATAGACCATCATCAGAAACTTTATGCACATCTTTTATTAACACTGGTTGGTTCTGAGCAATTAACATCTGCCAAAAGGTGAAAACACTTTAGATTGAACATACAATTTGCCCAGTTAAGTATACTTTAGTGACTTGTCTGTGAGTTGTGGGATAAAAAAAAACTTTCAAAAAACAAACAAACAGAGAAGTGATCCCCTTACATCTGCCATCCAAATCACAAAACAGAGAATCTCCTATCCTGTCTGGATCTACAGCGTCTGCCCATTGCTCAAATGTCAATAACGATAAACAGTTATACATAAATAGTGTCACAAGGCACAAACCTATTCATCTTATCTGCAGGTAAAGGACAGCATCTAAGCTCTGTAGTTGTTTGCACTGACCAAGCTGTCCAACAGCTGGCCATGTTCCTTTTCGTTGCGCCTAGCCTGCCTACGAATTGCTGAAGCAGTTGAAGCTGGTGCTTTGCCCTGAGAAACAGATGGAATAACCCCCTTCTTCAGCCTCTTCTGCTGTTGTCTGGCCCTTGACAATGCACGTCATTGTTTATGGCACTGTGAAGTGTGTTTTCTTGCCTTAAACTTTGATGGATCATGAAGTATACGTACCTCACCTATGATGTGGATGCGAGATGTCTACGAAGCATTGGCATGCAATAATTTGTGCAAATAAAGGCAGTTGTATAATTCTAAGATTAAATGATTGTTGGCCTCTGTAGCATTTAGGACATGAATATTCCATGAAAAGCAGACCCATTTTTCGTTTGATACTTATGGTGGTAGCCGGTAGGTGACTTCCCAGTTCCCCGGGTGGCGAATGATAGGGTAGGTATATCTTAGATACAAAGCTGCGCATGACCATAAAAACTTACCGTAGGCAATATATTCCAAAAAATCATCGTCGGTGAAATGCTTCCGACACACAATCAAGTGTTTGGTGGGATGAAATCCGTTGCAGCCTGAGCCATACCTATCTTCCTCGGCCTCTTGTCGCGAGAAAATACAAGCCCACCATTCTCCGAGCAGCCATAGACACAACACTGGGCCATTTTCTTCCAAATTTAGGTATTATGACACATGTGACTCACTACTTCCTCAACATTTCACCCACTTTCACCGCACGACACGGCTCCGAACGGCACCGGCGCAAATTGAATCAGCAGCAACGCCTACAGTGACACCTGGCGGCCAAAGTTCCGTGTTATCTCCCATTCATCAGTGCCAGAAGTTAAAGGAAACAGTTCACTTTCCTGAAATTAGTATTTTGCTATGGATTTATGATTTGTTATGCTCAAAATGATCAGAAAATAAAATAAAACCTTTTTGTAAAAACAATTATTTTCTATATTTTAATATAGGACGAACTATATTATATGTAAAATAATGTTTGACGCGGAAGCTTATTACGCGTGGACCAATCATATTGCGTAGTTCAAACCTACGCATGCTGCATTGGCTGTAAGCAGCATGCTGATTGGCTGACGATGACGTGGCTGCATTCCTGTGCAAGGCACACATTCCTCTGCAAGGCACTCTTTTCGGAACGAGAAATGGAATATCTTCGTCTAGGGTGATCGTTGAGCCGTAAAAGCTCCTGATTTGTGCTAGTCTCAGCTCAAGCTACGAAACTGCTATTCCAGTTCAAAACCCCATGTTAAAAGTGAACTATTTCCTTTAACTTGAGGGGAAGCTATGCTAATTGCTCTTGTCCACCCACGAGAAGTTATTCAAGTTATTGAATATTTTGCTTTGTGTATTCCAAAAGGAGAGGGAACTATTTTATTTGTGCCTTCATGTCAGAATTGAAGGTGGATCATTAAATTTTCAAGGCAGTTTACAAACAAGCATTTGGTCTTTCAGTTGTATATAAGCAGTGGCTAAGAAGAAAATGTTGATCAATCCTGAAGTTCAGTCATCGTACCTCAACTTGGCAGCAAGATCCCCAAGGACAGAGGTTATATTGTATACCTGTCCTGTAAATCAAAGCATTTTTGTGCCTGCAAAGGCATAAGTTATTTGTGGTGTGTTCGGAGTGAGGCTATATGGCCGTTTTTGTTCTATGTTTATGTGGAGATTGAATATAACTGTGACCCTTTGCTTGTTTGTATACTTACCATGGTCAAACAGGGAACAGCACATTCACATAACATACTCACCTAGCACCTAACTCATAGCTGTACCCTGCTGGATCTGTACTTGTTCATGTCTCAAGCATTAACAAAGCACTAAAGTAGCTTAGTAATCATTTCCCACATTTTCTGAGCATCTAACATGACATACAGCAGTGCAGAGCAGCTTCAGAGAAGAAACACTTTAAATGCACAGACTCACACCAGCCACCCAATGAGCCAGTTCCTCAGTTGACTGTTTCCCTGGATGCAGCTTGGCAAGGTGAGCTAACTATAGGCAAGTTGAAGGTTAGCAGGTAAGATTGAGTTAGGGTGAGTACCTACCTATAACTGGGTGCTACTGCTAGGTGCTATGCAGGTCTTGGGTAGGCTGCAAATATGTGTGACGATTGACTATTGAGGTTAGGTCAGCTGTCAGGTTATTGAGGTGTGCTCATTGCTCAGGTCACATTTTTATGGACACTTCACAAATTAAAAACCTAACATAACCTAATCTAAGCTAACCTGACTAAACCTACACAACTGCCGACTATAGGAACTAAGCACCTGCCACCGACCTACTTGTGCCTACATCTCATACCATGTCAAAGTAGAGTTTCTTGGTGGAAGATTACCCTCAGTACTTTTTATCCCAGCCTTGTGAAAAAAAAACTATTACTTCTAAGCTCTGAGTCACTGCTGGCCATCCACAGGAAGAAACGCTGAGACTGAGAGCTTTGCCATTGTATATTGGACCAACAATCATGAATCACTATCATGAATGACTATGAACACATTATATGATCACATCGTTGCATGGATTGTCACATTGACAATTTTATAACAATCCTTTTTTCAAGAAATACAGTAATGATTAACATCAAAATCAACATAAAGTGGATTTTGTGATCCAAACTTTCTCCTCCAGTAGCAATGGAATGATCGCATGTTTCATTTGCCAGACACTGAGTACCTGATGCACATTACACTTTGCGTAGCATCTAAGCATAGTAAAGCTGCCAAAGTCCATTCATTCTAGATTTTTAACTTGATAGCACTAATTTATCTTGCTGTTGTAAGTCATCATTCAATATTCATACCAATACATCAATATGCGCAGTGCGCTCATCAGTCAGCATTTTCTGGCATGATCCTGCTCAGCGCGCTCTTCAGTATTGCTCCAAGATCTGCAATATTATAGCTTATTTCGGCCAATAAGCTCTTTTAATTTTACTTTTTCTTGCTGATATATGAGCCCGTTTAACTTGCGTTTATCAACCAAAATTTCATAACTTCAAGTTCAACTTGATATTGATATTGCTCAGGAGTCAGGACCTCTGTCAGGCTCCTGGATACTTCGGATTGTATTTAGTCACATGCTTCTTAAATATGATATAAGTCAATCCTAAGGGATCCAAAACATCCAACAAAACGACGTACAAGAGTACGGAAACCACCAGATAAACTTAAAAAGCGCCTTGGAACAGAGCCAAGTGGTGCGCTCCATTTGTTTGTTTACAATGATTGTAGTGCTGATGTATTTTTGGGACTCTGAAGGTCGGCTTATAAAAAAATGAAACGTTTTTACGAAAGTTGTAAGGCAAGTAATATTTAACTGAAAGAACTAAAATATTCAAAAGCCAAACACTATGAAATACATGAATCGGAACGAAAAAGTAACCCAAAAATCCAGCCTCATCACCGGCTCCTAAAACTGCAACAAAATCAGCACTTTTCCCCGCAACTCGTTGTCCAGACGTAAATATGCGACCGTGCACTGATGTAATGGATGTACAGTGGATATCATAGCTAGTGACGTCATCAATTTTAAGTCGTTCATTGGCAGTTAGATAATAATCTAGCAAAATATTTTGAAATGGTCGACAGTGTTGCCAGGTCTAGAGGTAAACCTCCAGATCTAGAGGTTTTAGGGGACCGTTTCGGGGCTCCTGGAGGTTTATGAAAAATGCCGGATTCTAGAGGGTTTTCTAGAGGTAATCTGAAAATGCGAGAAAAGACAATTAGCGTCAAAGTCTCTTGAGAACTATTTAGGTACAATGATTTCATGTTATTATCCTTAAGTATTGCATGCTTAAACACACTTTTTTACAGATTGATGGAAACGATAAGCCTACTTTTGGCTTGTTCACTATTGAGGCTCTGGCCGCCGGCTGCAGCTAAAAGTTCTCGATTTACCGTGGGCACCGTGGGCATCAAGGCTATGTAAACGTGGGCACCAAAGCTATGTAAACCTGGTGCCCAATCTTTGCGCAGTGGCGATACAGTAACCAATGAGGTTTATCCGAGGTGCTGTTATTGCTAGTTGAAAAAAAAACGGTGGGCACCAAGTCCACCAAGTTATGTGGACAAATGCGAGGGCATGCGAAGGATGAGTGAATTAGGTACCTATCTTGATTGGGGATACAACCGGGTGTTTAAAACCCCCTGCCAGCTGCTGCCAGCGCGCTGACGTCACACTTTGGGTCTGTTCCAGTCGCACTTCCTAACACCTCTAAACTCCTCCAAGAGCAAGATAGAGGAGGTTGGAGCAGGACCCTCCTTTGATTTGTAGGGGCTAGAGCTGACACTGGAACAGGGAAGCAATCTTGGAGGAGCTTAGAGGTGTTAGGAAGTGCGACTGGAGCAGACCCTTGGGCAGTGTTGGGGCAATGGGCTTGATGATGTCATCACGCGCTGGCAGCGGATGGCAGCGTGTGAAACAGCGCCACGGTTTGTGATACGGAGGTAGGTATGGACTATGGAGGTATATATACATCATAATCAGCGGCAATGGAACAGAGGTTTCTAGAGGTTTTTACAACATTTTCTGGAGGTATTGGCATCACTCGACCTGGCAACACTGATGGTCGATTTTTTAACAACTTTCGTGTGTATTACTTCTCATATTTCTATCTCAAGAGGTATTTTCTGCTGTGATGCGTGCTTTGAAAGATATTTCGGGTTCTTTCATATATGCCATAGCTCTGTACATCGATTTAAAAAAGCATTTGATACTGTAGATCATGACATACTAATAAGAAAATGTAGCAAATATGGCATTGCTGAGCAAGCACTTAGCCTGATCGAATCTTACCTTACTAATAGAAAACAGTGTGTAGAATATAACAGTGCAAGATCTTCAATTGAAAATGTTAACATTGGTGTACCCCAGGGCTCCATTCTTGGTCCTTTGCTTTTCTTACTTTATGTAAATGATCTTCCAAATATTTGTAAAACAGCACAATGTTTACTGTATGCAGATGATACGGTCTTCATTTTTGAAAGTGGAACAGCGTTCCAGCTTCAAAATATGATTGACGTTGAATTGCCCATTATATGCACGTGGTTGCAAGCAAATAAACTTAGCCTCAACACAAAGAAAACAGTGTATCAAATCTACAATAATACACTCAATCCAGCAGAACTTAATGTAACATTAAATGGTGATCCTATTGAGGCTGCTCAATCAGTCAAGTACCTAGGAATGATAATAGATCCGAACCTTAAATGGAATCTCCATATTGACCACTTAACAACAGTTATCAGTCGTAACATTGGGGTAATGAGCAGAGCAAAATTTTTCCTTGATACTCATTTGCTAACTCTTTTGTACAATTCACTGGTCTTACCATATATCAATTATTGTTGTGTGGTGTGGGGATTCACATTTCCTTCTTACTTAAACAAAATTGAGTTGCTTCAGAAGCGAGCCATTCGTATTATTACTCATCAGCATCGTTTAGCACACACAGAGGAAATTTTCAAAAGCCTTAAGCTTCTCAAACTTCTTCTTCTTCTCAGTCGTCGGTTCCACCCATCGGGTGCACCATCAGGTTGTCCTCCCTGATGACCCTCTGCTGTCCCTTATCTCAGCCTTTACGTTAGGTACTGTGCAAGACGCTAGTGGTGGCACCGGGCAAGGAGAGACTGGGAGGATGAGGACAGGATTCTTTTCTTGTCCTGCTCGTTTCAACTGCTGTCGACATGCAGACTGCAGTTCCTTTTGTATCCTTGTCTTGTATAGGTAATTGATCAACAAGGCCTCTTCTGAGTCAGCATTGCGGACAGTCAGCTTCGCAGGTAGAGTCCTATTTAACCTCGCATTCCACCTCCTCTGTCCTTCCTCACGTTCTTGCCGCAGTTCCACACACTCATAAAGAAAGTGTTCAAGAGTTTCTGTTGCTTTCATGCATAATGGACAGATCTCATTTCGCTCAGCGTGCCTTCTTAAGACTCCTGTGGCAAGAAGCGACTGCTCCGTTAGAAGTCGTATCCTCGTGCCTGTCGCTTGTCTGCCAATAACACTTAGTCTGTTTTTCGGCCAGAATTGATTCGCTGGCTCGTATTCTTCCATATTTTGTGCAATATCGGCGATCCACTGTATAGTTTGTCTCTTGCTAGCTTCTTCTATAATCATTGCTTTAGTATACGCGTTGATGGCTTGTTTGCAAACTTTATACCAGCTCTTACCCTGTACTCCATTTGTTGTCATCATTTGTATTATGCCTGGTAGCTTCAATGCGGTAAAGTAATGTTCCCATTGCCTTAGTATGCTCGAGCTCCTGTCCTTGTTGAGAGCACCGTGCAGTATCATGTATTCCGTCAGTGCATGCTCCCGCGCTGCTTTAGCGAGAAACTGAATGAATTGCATAGCTGCTTTCATTATCATCACCTTAGGGGGTAACGCTCCAAGCATCATGTACACAGCTAAGTTCTGGGTTCTTCTGGGTAATCCTTGCATAGCCCTCAGAAGTCTTACCACCATCACCTCCAGGTAGTTAATTTCTTGATTTGTGAAAATCGTCACTGGCATGGAGTACAGGAGTATCGGTTCAGCATATATTTTCCATGTGGTGTAAAGAGACAGTGGGCTTGTACGGGCAACGTTAAGGCCTTCTGGGCACCTTGCAAACATCGCTCTTCTCGCCCTTTTCATACCCTCTTCGATTCTCTTTCTTCCTTCAGCCTTGTTGGTCATATGGACGCCCAGATGGGTATATTCTGTGGTTACTTCAATGTGCTCTTTTCCTAGTAACCATCTTCTGCCATCTGCGCATTTCCCATATACCATGATTTTGCTCTTACTTGCATTGTACTGATATCTCCATTTCGTGCTATGACTGTATGCAACATCGAGCATTACCTGCATCTCTGTCGGATCTGTACTCATGAGAACTTCATCATCTGCATATGCAATGATAGGTACTTGTATATCTCCAACTCTTGCTCCAACACGTGCTTGCTGCAGAGTTTGTATCTTATCGTGCATGTAGAGACAGAGCAGGCTAGTGGACAACACTCCACCCTGCTTTAGTCCTTGTTGCATGTTTCCCATCCCAGACTTTTCATTTGCAACCTTCACTCTGACTCTGAACTCTTTGTAAAGATTGTAGAGTATCAATACCAGTCTTGGGTGAACATTGCTGGTGATTAGCTTATAGATGAGACCATCGTGCCAAATCGAATTGAAACATTTCCGCACATCCAAGTAGGCGACATATACTGTCTTGCCTATATCTCTATTTGCAGATATTACTTCTCTAAGGATGAAGTTTGCCTGCAAAGTACTCCTGTCACTTTGGTACGCGAATTGTAAATCAGACGGTATTCCGGCTTCTTTGAGCTCCTCACCTAGTCTGTGAATCATAGCCTTTTCGAAAATTTTGCAGGCAGTAGTCAGGACAGATATATCCCTGTAGCTGTCTGTTTGCTCAGTGTTACCTCCGTGTCCTTTGTAGATTGGAGTGACTAGTCCACATTTGAAGTTCTCTGGAATCTCTGTTGTTTTCATTATATCCTGAGGGGTGTTCACGGGCACCGCACACTGCTGCGTGCGGTGTGTGCGGTGCGTCCAGCAGGCGTGGGGGTAGGGGATGGGTAGGCGGTTCTGACGTCACGGCTGCGTGCGGTGGACGGTCCGCTGTGGCCAGTCCCGACCGGCCACAGCGATCGCTGTGTGCGGTGACGGAAGGCTGACGTAGGGACGAAGTGGGCGGAGCTTCGAGGCTGTGTGCGGTCCGACCGCACACAGGGCCCGTGAACAGCCCTCAGGAGACAGGTTCCTATATCTTGAATAAGAGCGTCTCCTGCCTCTATGAGATGCTCGGCCATAATATTATCTGTTCCTGGTGCTTTCCTTCTTTTCAGTCTTCGAATAATGTTGGATATTTCTGCTTCTGTTATTGGCTTACAGTCTTCTAAGTCTCGTCCTTTTCCTGGTATTTGTTACATGTTAAGTTGACCACTGCCGTGACATGTTCCTTCCATTTCCTGTTGAAACACGGGTCTTCTATTGGCATGGCTGTTCTAACAAAATGGTGGAGGAACGCCTCAGCAATCTCCAGGGGCTGGTAGATTTCTTTTCCTTCAATTTTCAGTCGTTGTACTTTGCTTCTTCGTACGCATTTTTGTATTCTTTGATAGTACTTGTTTGATAGTTTTTGGCATTTTTTAGCATCATCTTCCTTTCGGGCACGTAGCCTATACATTCTTTGCGCATTGATATATTGCCGCTTTTTACTTCTGTATGTCGCTTTCGCAATATCTTTTTCTTCCGCCGGACATTCTTTCCATTTGTCTTTAGCTGCTAAGCATTCTCGTCTCATTTCCGTGAGAGCGCTGTTCCACCACTTACTTGACTTGTTCCTTCTTCCTTTCTTTGGAAGCATTCTCGCTGCTTCTATAATGGTCTTGTTGATACTGTCTATGTCCACTCTCAAAGTTCTCAAAGTTCATAATATAGCAAAACAGCAGGCTATTATCTTAATGCACAGAAAACTTTCTTTTTCTCTCCCATCATCTGTTGGTGGATTATTTACCCTTAGTGACCCTAGCGATTCAAGGACCAGAAATCGCCAACAGTTCATTGAACCATTTATAAAAAGATTATACTGCACTCGTAATGTAACATGGCTTGGGCCTCGCATCTGGAATAAAATTATGGCAACTCAATTCAACGCTCAATGCATTATCAACATGTCTAAATTGCAAGTAAAGAAAATAAGTAAGGAGTATTTCCTAGAACACCCTGTGTAGCTTCTGTTTACATAAGATCAATAATCAATAGTAAAATATGCAAATAAATAAGGTACTTTCAAATAGAATAATATGCATGCGTTGTATCACGTTGTAGTTTTTTATTCAACTTCTCCAAACACCTTCTACTCGTATAGCGTAGCCTGTCAGCCATAGTGACTGTGGCTTACACCGAACCCACCCTTACGGCGTTGTGACCGGTGACCCCGACCAGCAACAAGCTCTGCTTAGCTGGAAGGGTTCATCCGGTCACACATGACCTTTTGCAGAATACTGACCAGAACCTGTGCTTTGTATGTATGTATGTGTCCCTTTACTAACCCTGAATGAGTGTTCTTTTACATCATAAAACATGGTATTGGAAGTAGTCTCCCGCTGCTTTCAGCGGGGACATCTTTTGCCCTGTTTTTTTTTCTTCTAACTAACCAGACTTCCTCTTACCGACTGGCTGCTTATTCTGAGTTGTTTTCCGTTTCTTAGCAGGGAGTGCCGCGACTTTGCCATTTTATGTTTTCTCTGGTGGTAAAGTAAGGTTCTGTGAGTCGCTGGGCTGAGGGAGGGGGCACTCCTGGTCACCTATTAATGGGTGGCGGTGTAGTTAGAAAAAAAATATATCCTCAGGCAAACTGACTATTTCTAATGACGTCTAATTTTCTCTTTTGGAGAATAAAAGTACTACTTCATCAAACTACTTGAACTGTCTCAAATCTGGCGCATCTACGGCTCTGGCGCATCTTCGACGCGCGCGAGGAGGAGGGGCGTTGCTGTTGGTGGTCGTGGGTTGTTGTTGAGCTGTGGTCCTAATTAATATTTTTATTTTTTTGTGGCGTCTAGGGTCGCGGTCTTTAAGGTAAGCTCCATCTTCTCTTCTCCTTTTTTCTCAGAGAATGTCGAAATATTGACTGTTCCTGGCTCCTGCTGCTCTCTGGCATGATTATGAGGTTTAAAATAGATGCTTGTTCATGTTGCTTCAGCATTGCTGAACGGGTATTAGTAAGCCTGGCGTCCCAGGAAGATGCCAGATTTAGACGGATATATATATATATATATATATATATATATATATATATATATATATATATATATATATATATATATATATATATATATATATATATATATATATATATATATATATATATATATATATCAGAATATTTGGGAAGCAGGTTCTCTCTGATACATATGTCATCAAACACGACAGCATGTTTGGTGTTATTCAGCTTTTTTGTTTCATTTTCGAGACGTCGGACGGTACTTCTTTCTTCATCGTTCAACGAGAAAAGTAACTCACCAAAAGAAGCAATGGCTGCGATCGAGATTAAAGTTGTAAATCGGTTACTCATTAGGATGTAAATTAAAGTTCGTTCATAATTCGTTCGCTGTTATATTTATCTTAGCTTTCGATCAACATTGATCATCATCAGAGAAATGAATATACACAAATGATGCCGCGCAATATATGTCACAGATGAATAAAATATTAACATTTCTTCAAACATCGTCCTATTTGTATCATGGCACCACTCTTTCGAACACAAATCTACATCCAGCTAAATACACAGGTCTTAACATCGTTACCGTGAATATTTACATTGGGTCGCGCATAACAACAACAAACCATCATAATTCACAGATGACACATCGTTTAAACTTTCACACATTACATCATTTGTCTGTCGAACAGTGGAATGTTTGTCAGAGTTTTCATGTGCGTGTTGATGATGGGTGATGTGTCGCGGATAATGATGGTTTCGGTGATGGCCAGTCGTCGTTTGTCGTTTTGTCGCGCTATTATTGTGGTGTTGTTTGTCAGTAAGTCTCTCGTGAGTCGGGTTCCGTGCTGGTCATGAAGATGTGCCTTGGGTCCTCCGTCTTGTAAGTGCATAGTCAGTCGGCGGCTCAGTGATGTAGTTGTGTGACCAATGTAGTATACGTTGCGGGTTGCACAGTCCCCGGTAGAACACTTAAAACGGTATACTACATTGGTTTCTTGTAGTGGTGTAGTGGTCTGTTGATTGTTACGCATTATGAGTGAGGAGGTCCGTGGTGACTTGTAGTAAATTTTGAAGCGTATGCGGTGCTCAGGATTGACTGGAGTGACGTTTTTTGTGATGATGTCACGCATGGCTTTTTCATCTTTTTTCCAGGATGGTGTGAGGGTGTTTCTGTAGTATATGTCTATGTTGGTAGCTTGGTCATTTTTGTTCTGTGTCATGTTGGTCGACTTTGTCATGTACTTGTCAATAAGGTCACGTGATACGTCGTCAAAGTCACTGTTACTGTATCCATTGTTCACCAGCATCGATCTCACTCGTCGCAGCTCACTGTGGATAAGTGGCCAGGTAGAACAATGAGTCAGAGCTCGACGCACATACGACCGGATAACTCCTCGCTTGTATGAATCGGTACAGTCGCCTTTGGCATTCATGCAGCGTCCCAAATTAGTGGCTTTGACGTGTACCTGAGTTTCAAAGCTGTCATCCTTGGCATGAATCATTAAGTCGAGGAATGGAAGTTTGTTACTAACGTTGAGCTCTGTGGTGAATACAAGACCTGACTCAGCATCCAGCATACCTCTGAGTGTTTCCAGGTGATCTACGTCACGCACATCTACAAAAATATCATCGATGTAGCGGAAATACATAGATGGTCGCACAGCGCTATCAGACAAGACTCTGTTTTCAATGTGGCACATGAAGGCATTGGCGAAGAGGACGCCCAGGGGGGAGCCCATTGCCACGCCGTCAATCTGGCAGTACATCTTACCGGAAGGGCACCGGAATGGGACCTCCAGGGTGCACGCACGTAGAAGGGACATATATATCATTGAACAAGACAGATAGTTTTGCATTTATGACATTTTTGTGTAGGGATTCGATGTTGCGAATCAGTCTCTTGTCATCTTCTTTATGCTGAAAGAGAATCACTCCGAAACTCATGAGAGAAAGACAAATAAAACTTGTGCGCCAGACGTTTCATGTTACGTAACACATTCTCAATGACATTACATATTAGACATAGTACACATAATGCAAGGTTAAGTATATATAAATGAAATAAACTACATGTTAAGTATTTTACATCTTACATTTGCAAAGGCACAGAGCAGGGTAGGTGGGTGTGCTGGCTACTGGCTAGGTTTGGAATGAGAAATGCAATGTCTTTGCCTAGGATGATGGTTGTGCTGTAAAAGCTCCCAATCTGTACTAGTCCCAGCTCAAGCTACGAAATTGCTATTTTAGTTGACAACCTCATGTTAAAGTGGAATATTTCCTTGAATTTGCACGGCAAAATCCTCCCAGGCTCTTTTGGTCTTAGTCTTGTAAGGTGCCTTGAACTACTGTCAGCAGGTGGTGTGACATAAAATGGTTGATCTTTGCACTTTTATGCTTTAGCTGCCACCAATTTTATATTTAGAAACAGTTCCCTCACTCTATAGGCTAAATGGACGATGGGGCACGCAGCTCTAGCTTAAGAAAGACCTTATTTTTGATCAGACGCATGTGAGGCAAGTTGCTTTTTAAGTAAGCTGGGATTGATCTTGCAGCATGTTTGTTGGTTTGGTAGACTCAGATGCATGTTGTATATGGTATGGAAAGATGAGCAAAGGTCAACAAAACATTTTTTGTTAGTTCTGACAAACAAATTGATTGTTATTTGTCTACTTTTCATTTCCGGTATATGTGAAGTATGCCAGACTATCATCAGCTCATTTATTTACTTTGAAGCTCTCATCCACCCTCAAAAGAGTAAACAATATCAGAGGCCATCTCCTCTGGTTCCCCCATCTACCCGTGCATCGGCCTCTACCTCACTGTACCCAACACTGTATGACACTGTACCATATCCCTTAGCTGGCTGCAAGAACTATTCCATTCTCCAAAGACCAACTCTTCCCTTCAACCTTCTTACAACCACTACCCCACTGTCAAAGCTTACTCGAGTACAAACTACTCACGCTGTCACTCACCCCCACTGTCACTGAGCCTCTGCCTGTCCCAGCTTACCCTCAGCACCCCGGCCACTACACCGCGAACTCTCCGGCGGCTACCCTCCTACCTCCACCCACGCTGTGCGCACCCCGGGCACCGCGGCGCCGGCGTGCTCCGCTGACCGAGCCCTCTCTGCCGGCAGGCTATTAATAGGTGAGCGGCGCGCGCGCAGCACGATGGCGGATCAGTTGGCGCCGCTGGTGGCTCGTCTCGAGGCGGTGACGTCACGGCTGGAGGGCGTCGCGCCCGGCGGCGGCGGCGCCCGCACCCCCGGTGAGTACCGCCCGCGCCGCCGCCCCGCCCGTCCCTGTGTGTGTGAGTGTCGACGAGTCGAGCCGGCGACACCATGGCGCTGTTCGACGACCCCGGAGCGTTCTCTGCTCGATTCAGCGGCAAGTAGCACGGTTGGCGGGTGCCAGAGGCTAGCGTCCAGCGTCCAGAGATGTGGTCTGGCCGCGGGCTGTGTGCAGTGTGTGGGAGGTTGCGTGGGGTGTGATGGGGTTCCAGGTTTGCCGCTGTAGGTCTGGGCTGGCAGTGGCCCACGTTGCTTCATTCGTTTGTATGTCTCGCCTCTTACTGTGGCCCTTCATAAGCTTCGACTTGCGTCTTGTGATATTGGAACAGATTGCACGCGCGTATGGGAGTTAGGAGAAAGGTAAAGCAGCAGTTTTTTTAGCCCTTATGAAGCTTGCCATGCATGCTGGTACTTGAGCATCGTCTTGTGTCGACTTTCGAGTCTCCTTTCCGCTAAAACTGGCGCACTTGTCCTGCAGTTTGGAACCCTTGTCACCGCAACTCACTCAGAGGTAGACATCTTGAAACTATGATCGCTTCGTACCGAGTACGTGGGCAGGGCCTATCAAACTGGACCTTGGGACAATGGTATGATAATCTTGAGCATTTGGATATCGACTAGACCTTATTATTCGCAGGGTTTCATTCATTATGCGTAATACCAATGCCACTCGTAACGTGGTGTGTTTGTACCGTTAACATCGTTGCTCTGCTTCCACCTGTATTCATCCGCCATAAGGACACACACGTTCTTTGTGCCCGCTGAGTCAGGCACAGCCCTCTCACCGTTGCTACCTGCTCGCCGTCCCGGCTGTGGCGGTGTTTCTCTGCGTGCCGGGCCGGTCTGAGTGACGTGTTTCGTTAGGTGGAGCGTCACTTGGACAGGCAGCTGTGACGGATCGCTTCATCGGCCGTCTCACGCGAGCCAGGGCTCCTGCCTGCCTGGCACTAGTATATATACTGAGAGACCCTGACACTGCCTGCCGACTCTGCTGGGGATCCCACTAAATCACAACGTCCGTTTATAGGCGCTCCATTTACGCCAAAAATAACAGAACACCTTCGCGGTAAACCGTGTACTCGATTAAACCCTGTTTATGTTTCGATAGGTGTTGGTAGAGTATGTTTTGGCGGCTCAAAATAAAGGTCGTCAAGTTAAGTCAAAATTAACGCCGAACATTTCTGGTTAAACTTTCGTCTTGACCGCATCTGTTTCTAATTCTGGCATTTCATGCTTATGTAACACTCTAGCTGCAAGTTTAGCTTGTAATGGATTTCGTTCGTCCTGGGCAGTGGGCGCCCCGTCTAATGGCGTGCCTCATCCGTATGCTGAAGTAGATCATCCGCTCAGCAAGTTCGTCTGATGGTCACGGATACGGGAGTTGGCCACTCCACCGATTCCATTCCCTGGAAGGTCGTCTCCTCCGCTGTCAGCCTCTCCTGGGAGCGTTCCAGCGGCAACTCTGGACCGCTCCGCCGGTGACGTGGCTCCTCGGTCCTCTCCAGAACGATCCTGTCTTCCATCCTCCCTGACTGTGTGGATCACAGTTGATGTCACCGCTCCCCGTCTGCCAACACACCTGTGAGACTCGTTCATAAAGCGTCCGGTGCCCCCGCCCGGATCTGTCGCCCCGATCGCCGCGGGCGTTCCTTTTCCGGAGACGAGACACGTCACTGGGCGCTGGCACGGGTGCCGGTCAGCCCCTGGCGACCGGCTGACCTGCGCGCCGCACCGGCGTGGTCCGCCCTGAGGACACGTCACCAGGCTGCTGACCGGATGGGGAACAGCGCCTCCCGCTGCCGGGAGAAGTATGGAGCAGGCGCGGCCGGTGAAGGTGTTTGCTTTTGCAGCGCTGTGACACACCTGGCTTCTATGAATGGACGCGATCGGGAGCGGCGGGCAGTTTGTTGATTCAGGCGAGCGTCAAGTGGTGATTGAACGTCATATCGAATGCTATAGGAGCTGGTGATGTCAGGATACTTGCTCAATGATCCGATTGATTTGACGAATGACAATAGATTATTTTTACGAATGTGCTTTTTCTGAAATTTGACGTCAGAATCCTTTAACGTGGCTGAATTTCCATAACAATATCGTAATTCTATGACGTCTGTATAGTTCGATGCAACGTTACTGGGTACATACTAGTGGTGTCAATTTCAGAAAACGTATATCCAAAGTCCGTCCAATGTCCAATGCTTACGTCGATTGTCCGTCCAAAAATGTCCAAGCCAGCCATTTGTCCAAGGATGTACGACACCTACGCAATAATTTACACTCAACACTGTCATTTCATTTGCTTTTCATGTACCGCTACAAACTCAAAAGTGTTAATCATATCGAAAGCTGAGCTTTCTAATAGCCAATCAATGTTAAACACGACTACTTTTTAAAAATGTTGAGGTGTAGCAAGCGATTGTCCAAAGTTGTCCAAAGCCTGCGGCCATTGTCCAACCGAATTCCTAATTGGACATTGGACAAAATCGGAATTCCGAAGATTAAAGTTCCGATTGACACCACTAGTACATACGAGGCGTTCTGAAAACCCAACGGTCGAGCGCTGTGTGTCAGAACCACAGCGCTGTGTTTCAGGACCACGTATTTATCCTCTGGCAGTGCGCCAGGGTCATATGATAATCGCTGACATCCGGTGACACTGATTGGTTTGTGAGACCTCTCGTTCACCAGCGCGGCGGTTGAACTCTGATGGCAGATAGCAGTCCCTCTGTGCACGTCATGCTGTGGTGTATGACATTATTTGATTCATTTTCCATGAGTTTGCTTGTCGTAGATAACTTATCGCTGCTAACTGGTACTGTTCTGATTTCCCTGAGGCCTCTCTTCTGTGTAACTTAGACACTGCAGCGGGCGGCGACTGAACGTCTGCAGCTAGACGAGTCAGTACCTATCGGCTCCACCGGAAGTGAGGCCGTGGTCCGCTTCACCACACCTCCTGCGCTATCGGATCTGCTAAGTCATCAGTCGCGGCTATAGCTGCGGCCAGGTTTTTGCATCTTTGCTCATCACTGTCGAGTCTGTTCAGCTGCTGAACCGGCCGGCAGCTTCGCGATATGATAGAGAGAAGCAGCACAGCCGAGAACGTTACGTCATCGGCACACTATCCGTCGAACTCCGAGCGGAGTCCGTTCCAAGAATGCACTATTTTGGGCCGCCATCAGGCCAGGAGTGTGCCCAAGCAGCCATTGCATCGCCACCAAGATAAACATGACCTATGGAAGATGTGCTTGAAATAACCGATTTCATTCCTAGCTGCCCTCGGTAACTTGCTAGTCTACCTGTCGCTTAGTCCATCGTTTGTTCGAGCGCCGAAGCTGTTGCGATTGGCGAACTCCAAAGCTGTTACGATTGGGCCTGTAGGGGTTCGATTTACATATTGGTGCCCGGGCGACACTTAGACTGTGTGGGTTGTGAGCGACATCACGCGGTGTCCAGTGGCGACCCGTTCTGCAGAACTGGCTAAGGACAGGGCTCTGGACTAGGTCAGCGACTTGCCGGGGCGGCCTGCTGGCTACAAACCCGGGCTGGTAGAGAGTCGGTGGGCGGTTTTTTCTCCTCCGGCCACAAAAAGGAACGCCTGCAGAGATGACGATGAGTTTTTGTGCCGTAGTAGCGGCGAGAGACGGAGCTGGGACGGAGGAATGTGGCTGTGATTGGGGCTGCTAACCGGTGATAACATTTGGCCACTCCCGCTCACCTACTTCATATTTCTCAGAGATTCCTGAGATGCAGACACGGTGGTTTTACAGAGTTCCCTTCATTCGGTCTTTCCACGGGGCTTGCTTCCAGAGGTGAATGAATGGGTGTTCTCATCATGTGCTGCGCCTGAGCTCATTGAAAGTGTATGCTTGGTGATGAGTGGAATACTATCGAATGATCCAGTAACACTGATTGTGAGGTTTAGCAACAATGTTTTTTTTTTCGATAGGTCTTTCTGGTGGGAAATTGCAACTACCTATCTCAGCCGTCGTTCTGTGGTCTTGGTAACTTCCCTTCCCCAATCCCTGCTTGTGCTAAATTGGTTGCTTTGCCCTCGGTACGAGTTTTGACATTCAAACAAGTCATTTATTGCTGTCAGTATTGTGGTTTGAGGTCAAAGCTCAGCCAGCGTCTCAGTACCTAGGGCATGCGTCGCCCGCTCGTCTGTCTGCCTGTGGTCGCCGCTCGCCCGTCGGATTCTCATTCTCAGGTTTGACCGTATGTGGACCGGGAAAGACACACAATATGTCTCTCGCGGATACAGCGGTATCAGACCGGATGTGCTCTGTGGTCCGCCGACCCGCCGCCTATCTGGGCAGTGACGGCGGCGATCGCCATATTCGCAGCTCACCGCCCGTGAGCCGGCGCCGCCTGCCACCTGGCGGACCGTGCGCGAACTATCGGAACAGCTGACCGCCGTCGCTGCCGGCGGCTCTGGCTATATCGTGGGCGGAACTGGCCTGTTGTGAGGTGTGTGCGGGCGGCGGTTACCTGTGATTGCCAGCATTGTGACCTACGACATGGCACACCGCGGTAGGTGGACTTTTTGTGCTAACGCTCTTACTCAAGTTGCCAAGGCTTTGTTTTGGTTATGGGTCGATATCGGTTCTTTGTTTGTCACGGTTTATCTCACCTGAAAGCGGCTCGGCGGCTGTTCGAGCCATATATGGTCATGTGTCGGTGAAGCCATGGGTTCTCTGTGTGATAAGAACCAGTGATATGGTTATTGATTTGTATACCGGAAAAACAACCAAACCATGACCGATCGGCGACACCTTCCGTTGGTTTCTCACACTTTCTCAGCGGAGCCGACACTCTGTTCTCCAAGGTCACGCCCATAAATCACGCTTGGGTGCCTCCCCTCACCTAACGCTGTTGCGTCGGTGTGATGCAATTTTCTTGGGATCCATTTCCGGACGTTGTCTTCTGACTCGCTCCACTCTTGACTCGGTGAGTCTCGGTGAGTCGTGACGTAAATGCG